AGATTTTAATGGTAAAATTTGATTCCTTATTGTGGCCCCACCCTACCCCAGGGAGACATTTGAACAATCAAAATCTTTACTTTAGCATAAAATTAATTTTTTTTTCTTGACCAGTGGTTTTTGAGGAGATAAAAAATTTTCATGACTATGGGAGGATTACATACCCTTGAAGGGGCTTGACCCTTCATTAAAAAATTTTAAACTCCCTTTCACCCAAGAATATGTTGTACTTTTTTTTGCTAAAGGCCCAGAAGAAGTTGGAAATTTGGAAACTGTAAAGATGGATGGACAGACAGATGAAGTGCAATGGGTGATCAGAAAACCCACTCTAGCATTCAGCTCAGGTGAGCTAAATAGGTACTTTTTAAAATTAAGTATACCAATTTTTCCAACTGACCCCCCCCTCCCTTTCTCCTAAAACTTATTAGTTGAATTATTTAATAAATTTAACTCATTTTAACTTATTATAACTACTCTGTACAGCAAAAAAAAAAAAAAAAACTTTTAAAATCAAAAACAACAAACACCAGAAACTTAATTTATACCTGAATTTCAATGTGCAAGGAATTCCCAAATTCTGAAAAAGGTCACCAATTTTTATTTCTATTACCCAAGTCTCATTATACCAAAAAGTGGTGCGAGAGCCCTGAAAAATGATATGTTTATTAAATATCCTGGACTTGGATCAAATTAGTTTAGCATAGCTTTTGAACTTTTGAAATCTAAACATTTTATCATCAGATAATATCAATTAACTGTTATTCTTTCCAGAGAAATAAAAATACTTATTAAATTAATTTTTAGAAATACGTGAGAAAATCTTCACAGCTATTAAACCTCATAATTATCAGCTCTATCTTGCTAGAGGGATTACTTTGGACTTTCCAATCATACACATATCATCTAATTTTCATAACACCTATACAGTCAGCCAATTAAATATTTTTATAATGTACTATAATAAGGGTTTTTAAAGAAGTAATCCATTCCCATTATTTTGTTTTTCACATGTAGATGTTTCACAAAAGGATACATGGGTTAAAAATTGTTCCTTTTTGATCCTCTAAGTATTGCATTAACATCAGACACTGGTGTCACAGAAAGAATATATGTCCACAAAAAGCCACTAGATTCCTCCACATTTCAAGGAAGGAATTCTAAATCCTTAAATCCTTTAAAGTCAGAAAACTTGGGTGAGAAAAAAAAGAGACTCGATCCAATGTATAATGGCCAAATGAGTGTACAAAGGACACAGGCTCGTTTTCTGCCACCAGGTCCTGGGCGAGTTAAAAAGACGTAGAAAAAACACACACAAAATATCAAATAATGTGCGCCGCCGCGGTGAACAAGTTAGGAGAACCTGACATGCCGCTTTATGCAGCAATGTCACTGCAACACACTAGAAATCTGTCTATAGCGAAAGACACAAAAAAAATCTATAGAGTCTTGGTGGACTACCTATATCTTCCTATATATAAATGGCCCACATCTTCTGTATTGATCCGAGAGTCTGCTAGAAGTCTAGGCATTCTTTGTGCGTGTTTATTTTGATTTTTTACCACTGTATTAGACCTAATAAAGCCAATGACCTGGTAGACAAAAAACAAGCAGCTGGGGGGATCAAGGAATATTCAAAATGAAGGGGTGGGGAAGAATTTCTATGAATAAAATGCTGCATTGCATGCAAGAATTAATGTCCTGGAATTGTATTAATTGCTGCGCACCTTTTAGACAATTATTACTGTATCTGCACCTTACGTGCAATAGGATCGACAAACAGAAATAAAGATTTCTTGTCATCCAGCCAGATTTTATTTCAAAATCAGATACTTTTACTCTTGTCTCACTCATTTCTTCAAAATCGTTTTCTGCAGCTGTTGTAATCTAAGCGAAAACTATGTACATTGTTGTTTTGTATGATGTACTCTGTACATTTATGTAAAAAGATGTAAAAAAAAAAAAACCAAAGAAAGAAAGAAAACAATGTACAGAGCATGATTTGCCAATCCTTCTTCAACTCTCCTTCAACCCATGTACCAAATGTATAAATTAGCTGATATTAACAGTATGTGTTTTGAATATATATATTGGTCTTTGATTCAATCTGGAGACATATCCTTTCTTCATTAACACTAATAAAAACTTTAATTACAACAAAACATCCATGTAGTCATGTTTATCATAAATGTTTTCACATATTTTTCGCAAAAACATGGGTCAAGGACACACAGCCGTACGTCATAAGGTGCCCTCCCAAAGTCCCCATTATTTTCCTCTCACTGAATTTTTCTTGGCATATTCATATACTTTTAGAAGCATTTGTTGTTTAATAAATAATTAAGGGAATAAAATGTTTTTTTTTATATCACCAAGACGTCATAAACCCTCAGGAAAATAAATTTAAATTGTGTTTTTGCTATATGATATATCATGTATGCTTAAGGAATCACTGTCTAGCTAGAATAGTATCTCTGGGCATCAACGATTGGGAAAGATGGGATAATTTGCATAACAGGCAAAGCTTGTGATTTTGGCTGCTTTGTTTGAAAATACATTCAAAGACATTGCCTACGATGTTCACATGCTGATAAGCAATGGATAAAGCAATCCTTTTGATCAGACATGGAAAGTATATCTGTGAATAAAATAAATTATCTTTATTTTAAAGAAAATTCGAAAATTGAAATTAAATCAAAGTACTCAGTAGTAAAGAGAGCCGGGCTCATTTACAGAGTAGAATGGATTTCTTACATGAATCATGTTTATATTCTGATGAAAAAATTATTTTAAAACTATCAATATAAATGATAAGACACTGACAGTGAGTTTTTCAATCCTAATACCACGGTCCGATTTTGTCAGAATCAGAGTTAATCTGGTACCGGAGCGGAATGTAAACAAACAGGCCAGTCTGGTTCCATTCCTGCTTTACCTCGTATGTTTAGAGAACTACGTAACACTGATTATCAAAAATCCTTACGCTAATGAACTATGTTCTTTGACTTATGAAGTTTTCAAAGTCATTACTACTAATGTTTATTTTATATAGATAAAACTTCGTTTTATTTTTGTTACTTTATTTAGCGTTTGTATTATCTCAAAAGCGGTTGAGAGTAAGAACTATATTTTTGCACGTAACTTTAAAATGGCGACTATGGGGTCAACATCCTGCCTTGAACAGGATCACATAAGCCGGCAATTGCTCTTTGAGCAATAAGCCCGGCTAAAAAAACACCTCCCTCATCTACTTTAGTTTATTGCCAATAAAATGATAAATAACATGCCTCCCTCCACCATCTGTTTTGGAGAAAATTGGCCTGAGAACCAGAGAATTAAATTTATATAGCCTAACCATGGAGTTCAAGTTTATATTAGTAAAATTTTATAAAACTTTTTTTTACTAAATAAATGATATTCAAAAACTGCTAATTTAATTCAATTAGCATAAAAGAAGAGCGATTTAAGTTTTATTCTTATATGTCTTGTTTCAGCTCGGCTCGACCTTACTGCTTCCTGCAGGTCTAATCATTGAGTTATTATTCAGTAATTTACACAACTATTTCCAAAACGAACTACATTCAGCTATTTCATATAATAAGAGGCCCAATTTGGCCCTGACATTCAGATTTTAACAGACCAAGTTAGTTCCATCTACAGCAAGAAAATTTGGATCCACTTGACATCAGAATTTTAATAGTAAACTTAAACCATTCATCCCCCCCCCTATTATACAGGGAAGGAAAGAAGATGCTTCAAACCCTGAAAGCATTGGACATAACTTTCTCTTTTTGATATACTGTAGAAGTACCTTTTTCTGCGTGGTATTAATTTACGCTATGTACGCGGTCATAATTTTTCCGCGGAAATTTGTCCAAGCATACTTAATGTAAATGTAAGGCATTTAGTGACAGTCTAAAAAATCGGCGTAATTTTCTACATACAGATTAAACAGAAATTGAGATTCCGCGGAATTATGACCCCGTGGAAAATAGTACGTCTACAGTAAATGTGCTTATTATAATCAAGCAAACAGTTTTCATTATAAAAGTCATAGGAGTGGGGATTTTTAACCAGAAGTCTCTGATTAGACTGTAGCTCTAGTTTTGTATATAAAATAATAGAGGAGAAAAGTAGCACTTGCATATAAATAAAAAGTAAAATTGATATCACTCAGGCTAAAACTGTATAAAAATAGCATTTTGAAAGCATTTTACAGAAATTGCCATTTTTACTAACCAAGGCAACATCTTTCTTCAAATTCAAAAACCTATATTGTACAATTATTGCTTTTTTTAAAGTCAATACAATGATTTTGCCACCTGCAGAGTATTTTGTCTACCGATCCCAAAGGGCGAGGCGAATATTGCACTTCAAAGGTGACTAAATCATTGCTCCAACGTCAAATAAGCAGTCACTATAAATGTTTTATATGAATTAAGGACTAAATGATACAAAATCATTAAGCATGCAGTCCTAGCCAAATGGAATGAGAGAAGCTGGTTAACATATAATCTGTTTTGCATAAGATAGATTTTGAAAAGGGGGGTGGGGGGTGGTCTGACACTATCAGGGAAAAATGACAACTGAATACTGTATATTTTTCATTGGGATAAAATTACGTTGATTTGTCATCAAAACTAGTTTTGTTGGCATTTAATTTCGTTGTTTTGAATGTAATCCTATTCAATATATAGTCAATGACATATATAATTTCATGTGGGATTTCATTTAGTTGATAATTGTAAACAACAAAATAAACAAAATTTAATCCCCCAAGAATACTTGTGCTTTTACAGTAAATCTTTGATTAGCCCCATGAAAAGAGAAAAATTAATTTCAAATTTTGATTCGGAGTGGGGTTAGGGTCCAACAAAACCCATGCTGCCCTCGAACTCAGTCAATAAATGTATAACATTGCCCTTGCTTCTTCAAGCAATCACTGCATCTAGTAGCATGCTAGAAATATCCTTTCTGTTATGTGGACCCTTTTTTTTTTTTACCTGGGAGATTGAAAATCTCATTGTTTCCTGAAGGAAACTCTGTATTCTCAGGAACTGTCATGGCATAATTTTCAATCTGTGGCATCTTATCTGGTACCTCTGTGTGGCGGGGAACTAGCACAGGGGGCAGAACTGGAATAGATTGAGGATTGATAATTATTTTGCTAGAATATATTAAGGATTGATAATTATTTTGCTAGTAATTAGTCCTTGCCGTATGTGCCCATGGGCATGACAAGGACTAGGTAGGTAATAGGTAGATAATTAGAAAAAATGGTCTGTACATATGTAAATTGAAGATTAATTTTATTGTTATATCCTATAGCCTACATTGTAATGCTGTTAAAGTGAAATCAATTGGTTACAGACCTGGGGGTTCGATCCGCGTGTAGTGGTAGGGGTTGACACACACCTCCTCTCTCTTCATGTGGAAGGCCCACTCACAGGATTCTATGGCCCGCAGTTCCTGGTGGTTCTGGAGGTCCGGCCATCGCCACAGGCGGCAGTAGATCACGTGGGGTAAACCTTTTCTGTGGGACACTTGTAGCCGGCCATCCAGGGACCTGAAATCCGAACTGCTGACTTTATCATCCAACGTAAAAAATCTGACTTTATCATCCAAAGTAAACATAACAAGAGGCCCAGGGGCCACATCGCTCACCTGAGCAAATGGCTAGGTAAAAGAAACAAGAGGCCCATGAGCCACATCACTCACCTTAGCATATGGGCTAATTAAAAAACACAAATCAGCTCAGTATTGAAAAGACTGGAGAGGGGGGATTTGCATTTTTTATTACTTGAGAATGTGACACTATATCAATAAAGCGTACATATATAATTTCGCCATACTTGAAAAGAAGAGTTTTAAAGATTTTTCCTATATATTTCTATGTAAAGATTTGATTGCCCATCATGGCCCCACCTTACCCCCAGGAGTCATGATATGAACAAACTTGAATTAACTCTAACTGAGAATGTGTCCATATAAATAGCACCATTCATTGTGGCCCCGCCTTATCCCCCCGAATCATGATTTGAACAAAATTGAATCTACACTAATTGAGGATGCTTCAATGTTAGCTTCACGTTTACTTGCCCAATGGTTTTGGAGAAAAAAAATTCCTAAAGCTTTTTCCTATATATTCCTAAGTAAAACTTTGATCAGCCATTGTGGCCCCATCCTACCCCCGGGGGTCATGATTTGAACAAATTTGAATCTACACAACCTAAGGATGCTTCCATATGAGTTTCATCTTTCCTGGCCCAGTGGTTCTGGAGAAGAAGATTCTTCTTCCATCAATTTTACGTATATTAATAGAGAACAAATGCTTTTCTGATTACAAAAACATGGTTTAACAACATGGTATTTGTCATTTGATAATACCACAGCATTTTGGCAACCTGACATCACTTATGTGTCTGAAATCTTTCTTTTTTTTTTTGTAGTGATAAAAAGTGTGAAACTAAGACAGATCATAATAAACTGCCAAATTCCAAGCGAATGTATTTCCAATTTCCATATTTTCATAATGGCAAAACGTGAGACGTATTTTAGACTCTAAATCCATACAAAATACGGCAAATCGTAAGAGTAAACAAGTCTGCATTTCTTTAAATTGAAATCTAAAACAAGAGGCCCATGGGCCACAACGCTCACCTGAGCACTGTGGCTAGGAAAAAGTAGAAATTGGTTTATTATTGAAAAGTTTAAATCCAAAAGTAGTCCCATGACCAATCATGGCTTTGCTATTCTTGAGAAGATGTTTTTACAGAATTTTCCTATATATTTCTATGTAAAACTTTGATCAGCCATTGTGGCCCCGCCCTACCCCAGGGGGTCATGATTTGAACAAATTTGAATCTACACAATCTGAGGATGCTTCCATATTAAAATGATCAATCATGGCTTTGTTATTCTTGAGAAGAAGATTTCTAAGGAATTTTCCTATATATTTCTATGTAAAACTTTGGTCGGCCATTGTGGCCCGGCCCTACCCCCGGGGGTCATGATTTGAACAAACTTAAATCTACACAACCTGAGGATGCTTCCATATTAAAATGATCAATTATGGCTTTGTTATTCTTGAAAAGATGATTTATACAGAATTTTCCTATATATTTCTATGTAAAACTTTGGTCGGCCATTGTGGCCCAGCCTTACCCCCAGGGGTCATGATTTGAACAAACTTAAATCTACACAACCTGAGGATGCTTCCATATAAATATGATCGATTATGGCTTTGTTATTCTAGAAAAGATGATTTTTACAGAATTTTCCTATATATTTCTATGTAAAACTTTGGTCGGCCATTGTGGCCCCGCCCTACCCCAGGGGGTCATGATTTGAACAAACTTGAATCTACACAACCTGAGGATGCTTCCATATAAATATAATCAATTAAGGCTTTGTTATTCTTGAGAAGAAGGTTTTTAAAGAATGTATTAACAACTTGACCAAGGTCAAGGTAAAAAATGTTGATGCAGTTGAATAACTTACATTAGTATGTATCAATATATGAAGTTTAATCACACTTTCTTAAATGGTATCTTTAAAACTGAGATAAAGACTAATTTGAGTAAAAGAGGATTAAGGTCATAGGAAAGGTCAAGGTAAAAAATGTTGATGCATTTGAATAACTTACATCAGTATGTATCAACATGAAATTTGATCACACTATCTCATGCTATCTTGAATGGAATCTTTAAAATTGAGCTAAACAATAAATTAAGAAAAGTAAGGTCAAGGTCAAAGGAAAGGTCAAGGTAAAAAATGTTGATACAGCTGCATAGCTCTCATCAATATCTCTCAGCATTAAAGTTTGATAAAAATATCTTGTCAATGAATAGTTTCTTTGAAACTTAGCTTTGAACTGAGCTAAGGGCAAAGAGTGATGGAAGGACAGACAAAAAGGACAGAAGGCCGGAAGATGGACATGACAAACACTATATGCCCTGGCCATATTCATGGCAGGGCATAAAAAAGATATCATTTGGAATTCATAGAAATGATTCAAATTAATTGTTACAGAATAATTAATTAAGAGACAGCCAGCTGGACAGATTCCAGATGAAGGATCAGGTCCGGCCTATTCCTCAATGTTTAGTGATAGTGTGAGACAAAACCTTCACTGCTAATGACTTCATCACATGACCTTATCAACAAGGGTCACTAACATCACAGTTTATTCTGATAATATACCGGTAAATAAATTTTCCGTGGTTATCAAACAGTTCTAAACCCATCAGACAGAACAAATGTATTACATGTACCTGATGATCACTCCGCAGCTGACAGCAGATTTTAAAACCATTAACTGTTAGCTACCTTATGCATAGCACCTCGGTAGAACGTAAAGAAACATTAGAGCTATACAATGCACATTTTCAGCTGGGGAATTTGGGTCGAAGTGTCTGGGTCAAATTTGATGTTTTTTTCACCCCTAGGGAGCCTCGCATTTCTAATTATAACCCACAGGTTTGTTATGGGTGACCCACAGAAACATTGCTTGAGAAAAGGGAATCAAATTTTAATAAGAGCTTCTTCATGTTCTTAGTACATGTAACACAATGTCTGAGCATATTTATCACTATAGAGCATTTATTCCTATACTCAGCACCAGGGGCTGACGAATAGATTTATAAGGCAGTTGTCCGAAGGCAAGTACATTGTCAAAATTCACTTGCCCTACTTGAATTTTTTCTTGCCTTACCATAAACTACTACTGTATATATAAATATTTCATAAAAAGAGGATGACAAATACTGAGTAGATCATGCAAGCCCCCTTTGCCTAGCTTTAAATGATAATCTATGACTTTTATATTTGATTTTATTAATTTTATAAGTCACTTGCCCACCCCTAAAATTCACTAGCCACAGGCGTGGTGCAATGGGATTTGTCATCCACTGGGCATGCACTCAGGGGCAGGTAGGGATCTTTTTCATGCCAACACCTAATGCAACAAAGAACCTCAGGTTACATGGTTTATATGGTCTTGTCTGAAGGACCCCCGGCTGTGGATTCAAACCTGTGGCGTAAGGATCAACTGATTCAACTCCTTACTCTGTGACTTAAGAACAGACACTCTAACCAGTGCGTCACACAGGCAAAAAAAGTTTAAAAAAAAACAAAGAGTACTAGACCTTATTTTTGTCGTTCAACAAAAACGGAGGGCTTTTCGACCCCTTAAAATAAATAATCTTAAAAAAAACAATATTTCACAATTTAAAAAAATCTTATAATAAAATATTGCAAAAGTTCTTTTGAGATCAATATTTGATTGGAAACATAACAATTCTGTATACACATCAGTATCTACTCAAAGAGACATAACTCTTTCGTGGTTATAAAACAGATTCGAAAATGTTCTGATTTTCAATCGACTAAAGCTCCTATAAGGGGTCAAAAAGTGACTCCACGGCCCATTATTTTTAAAATGTACTCTTTATACTTCATGTAGTGTCAAAATTATTTTGAATATTGGTTGAGAATTAAAAATGTTACAGAGAAAAAGCTGTTTTCTCTACTGACCCCTAAAATCCTTTCTATTTTAGGGATTTTCATTTTCATGACCTTAGCATCTGGAGACAATGCTAGAGTAAGTATTCATATGAAATTTCACAAAAATTCCATGCCTACCTTTTGAGATATTGAAACAATCATGATTTCAAATTTAACATAGAAATCTCCATAGGCAATTTTAAGGTACTTATAAAACCAGAAGTACTCTACATATCCATACCAAAATTGAAACATAGAGAGCATATTAGACTCCAAACAATTTGCCAAAGGGAGATAACTCTTGCAAAATTATTTTTGAAAATACATTAAAATACAAAATTTCAGGTCACTCAAAGTCCTTTAAGGGGTCAAAATGTGACCCCACGGACAATAATTTTTAAATTGCCCTTTTTATGCTTAACTCAAAACAGAAATCAGTTTGAAGATCTATGGACAAATAAAAAAGTAATATACAAAAAACTAATTTCTGTACTGACCCCTAAAATCCCTTTTGTTTTATTTTCATGATCTAAATATCGAATGGTAATGCTAAAGTCATTATGTATCTGAAATGTTATGAGATCTGCTTGCTTCCTTTTGAAAATAATGGACATTGAATGATTTCAAATTTAACATAGAAATCTCCATAGGCAATTTTAAGGTACTTATAAAACCGGAAGTACTCTACACATCCATACCAAAATTGAAACATAGAGAGCATATTAGACTCCAAGCAGGTTGACAAAGGGAGATAACTCTTGCTGCATTATTTTTCAAAATACTTGAAAATACAAAATTTCAAATCTCTAAAAGTCCTATAAGGGGTCAAAAAGTTACCCCACGGCTCATAATTTTTAAATTGCTTTTTTTATGCTTAACTCAAAACTGAAATCAGTTTGAAGATTGATTAAAAAATATAAAAGTTATGGGGCAAAAACGGTTTTAAGAGTTGGCCCCTAAAAATCCCTTTTATTTTAAGAAATGTAATTTTCATGACCTAAGCATCGAATGGCAATGCTAAAGTAATTTTCATGTGAAATATTATGAGACTTGCTTGCTTCCCTTTGAAAATAAGGGACATCGTATGATTTAAAATTTAACATAGAAATCTCCATAGGCAATTTTAATGTACCTATAAAACCGGAAGTACTCGACATATCCATACCAAAATTGGAACAAAGAGAGCATATGAGACTCTAAACAGTTTGACAGAAGGGTGATAACTCTTGCTCGATTATTTTTGAAAATACTTAAAAATACAAAATTTCGAGTCTCTAAAAGTCCTTTAAGGGGTCAAAAAGTGACCCCACGGCCCACAATTTTTAAGTTGTACTTTTTATACTTAAATCAAATCTAAAATCAGTTTGAAGATTGATTGACAAATAAAAAAGTTACAGGGCAAAAACGATTTTAAGAGTTGACCCCTAAAATCCCTTTTATTTTAAGGAATTTTATTTTCATGACCTAAGCACCGAAAGGCAATGCTAACGTAGTTTTTCATATGAAATATCATCAGACTTGATTGCTTCCCTTTGAAAATAATGGACATCGTATGATTTCAAATTTAACATAGGAATCTCCATAGGCAATTTTAAGGTACTTATAAAACCGGAAGTACTTAACATATCCATAACACAATTGAAAGATAGAGAACATATAAGACTCCAAATAGTATGAGAAAGGCAGATAACTCTTGCTTGAATATTTTTTAAAATACTAAAAAATACAAATTTTCAGGTCTCTAAAAGTCCTTTAAGGGGTCAAAAAGTGACCCCACGGACCATAATTTTTAAATTGTTCTTTTTATGCTTAACTCAAAACTGAAACCATCTTGAAGATTGATTAACAAATAAAAAAGTTACAGGGTAAAAATGATTTTAAGTGTTGACCCCTAAAAGTCCCTTATTTTTAGGGATTTAGTTTTCATAACCTTTTCACCTGAAGACAATAATAAATCAATTATTCCCTGTAAATATTACTAGAATTGCTTGCTCTGCCTTTGAGATAATGGATGATGCAAGATTTTTTTTTACTATAGAAAATCCCATAGACAATTTCAAAGCGTCATAGAACCGGAAGTTCGGTACTGGTGGACTTGAAACTTACATTACAGCCTTTAATTACTTTGATAAATAATATATAATCCTCAAATTAAATTTTCTACATTGTTTCAATTTTTTTTTTATTTCAATCCCCCCTTTTCTTAACTTTGGAGCCCTGTAACACAAAAATATATCATAGGTGCAAAAACACTAACGATGACTTTTTTGTAGATATTACTTTGAGGAATACATTCCTAAAATTTGAACGAAATTCAATGTAAAATAAGGAATATTTTAGGCTTTAAAGAAAACGTAGTTTTTTACTTATAAATACCGGAAGTGAAGTTTCCGGAAGTACAAAACCTTACTTATGGGACACTTTTAGATGTTCTGTTAAATGATTTTGTTTTGAAATACATATGTCCAGTGGTTTTCTTTAAATCCTTGACGTAAAAGTGTTAAGTATAATAATAATAATAAAACAAGACGAAAACAATAGGTCTTTTCGCAGAAAGCGAAAAGCCCTAAAAACAACAGGTGGAATATAATTTCTATCAAAACATAATTAATACCTATTCTTCTATACATGTTTCTTCTCAACTTTCCAAAACATGGCAAGGGCATCGAACCTGTGCCACAGAATAGTTATCTAGTGTTTATGTATGTAACTTATAAATACATAAGTCATCAAGACAGTTTTCTTATGAAATTAAGCAGTTTTATGCCCTGTTTGGATGAGTATTAAAATTTTACTCTGTTGCAGTTAAGTCTAATACATGCAATACAAATAAAATAATGAATTCTCAATGGAGTTTACAGGACAGTTTATGCATAAATGCGTAAACAAATTGCATAATTAAAGTTCAATTATTAATTTTTAATAAAGCAAAAATGATGTACATCATGTACATAATTTTAAATTATGTCACCTTATTTAAGATTTCTTATTACTGGTGTGAAATTTTTTAGTATATTTGCCATTTGAAGTCAAAAAGTGAGAATTAACAATTAATCAATTTGTGGATGGACAGTTATTAATCATGTCATTGGGATTTATTATTCGATTTCAGCCAGTAGATCTAGGTTGTGATTGGTGCTTCTAAGGAAATTCCACGACAATCTGATAATTAATTCCTCACTTGTGGTATATCTTCTGTTAAGCACATATAGACATCTGACATAATGCCATAGTGTTTCTTAATAGTTTAAAGTTCAAGCAAATTAATATAATTTGATTTTTTTCACAGGGTTAGACATTAACATTAGTCTGTTAGTCTCAATGTAATACAATTTCATTCAACCTAATAAAATCAGCTTATTAGTCCTAACTGACTCATAAAATTTCCTGAAAAAAAAATTAATTTACCGATGTTCAAGATTCTCAACAACTTTCACTGGAAAACCCAGTATGTATTTTTAGCTTTCTAGCCTCTTGGCAGGAAGTAAGGTAATTCCGAGTCAATTTTGGTGCTTCATTTTAGGAGCCATCGGTATGAAATAAAACATTTTAGCAATCATGATTTAGTATAACCCATGAAGAAAGATGTCGGATGTTTGGATGATGTAATCATTTAAAGAGAAAAACGAATAAGATTGGAAATATGATCGTAGTTCTTGCTTGCAGAATTTCAATGAATTATGGAATAAAACATTTCACATAAATGCTTTGTTTATTCCAAAAAGGTATATTGCCATGTTTATATTATTTATTCATTTTTTGATGAACTCATAAAATTGTGCGTGGAGTAGCAAAAGTAAAGAAGCAATCATCCGGCCTGACTATAGCCTAAAAAAGTTAGTATCAAACTCTATTTTCACTTGAAAATACCATAAAGTATAAATTGTATCTGACTTAACACTTGTTGGGTGGGGCTTTATATGAAAATTCGAAGTCGGATAATTTGCAAAACATTGTTTTCTTTATTATAATTCTACCTTTCCAGAGAAATTAGACTAAAAAAGATTTAAAACAAACTTCAAAGAATAATTGAGCAAAACTTAATGGAAATAATGCCTCGTTAAATAAATAAAATAGACAATGTCTAGCGTTTCATTATGACTTTTCAAAAAATATTTCCAATCTTATCCGAATTAGATTTTTTGTAATCCTAAAAGAGTTATTTGCTCATAATTTAAATCTGGGATGGAGAACTTGTGAAAATGAATTAATAACACATAAAGGTTGGTTTTCTTGTGACAGCTGTATGTATTTATGTTTAAAAAGTTAATTTAACAAGTCTGTTTTGTATAATCAGGCATATTTCAGATGAAATGTTATTTGAAGTGTAGGCCGTCTCAGGTTCTTCAATTACACAGTTTCCAGAATAACAACATGATGGCCTGCGAAGAGAAGTGGATGAAGGCAAAGCCTGTACAATTCTCTACAGAGAATACTCTAGTCTGGTGCTCTACAAACTGAGCTATTCAGGCCGATATCCACGGCCCAAACCATTACATTTCTCCCTAATATGCAAGTTTCGAGATTATCTCCCTCGGTGTGCTCTTTTGTTGAGGAGGGGAGTTTCGTTGCCATATAAACAGACAGGTAGGACAGATATTTATACCGCTATATTGGATGCATTGCATCATCGATATACTAGTTTATCATAACTACATGATTGTCAGGATGCACTCTACAAAACGAGAATAAACGAATTTATGTACAGGCATAATCTTTTAAAACAAAAAAAAAAATCGTAACAAAAAAGAAAATATCAGTGGATGTGAGACTTTTCAGACGAAGGAAGAGATATGGACCTCTAATAAATACGGTAAACATGCATCTGATCATTGTACATCGGCAATCTAAATGACACATTGGTTATTTTTCTTATTATAACTTCAAAAAAACCCACTAACATTTTTGAAAAAATGTTTGTACAATCATGAAAATCGGTTACTTTTTATAAAGACTTTGACGTTTCTTTTGTTTTCAAGTGCCCTATAATTGAAAGTAGATTTGTAAATATGCATAGTTGAGCTTGATAATATCATCAATTGCATCACTGCTTAACAATATTATCTCTCTATAACAATTAATAAAATTTAAAAGCATAAATATCTATTATTTATTTATGCACGTTTGAATACAGAAACAACCTGTCCCACCTCCATGCTGAAATGGATACTTTTTGCACCTCCTTCGTAGGAGAGTTACAATCTCGAAAACTCGCGTATTAAATGGTCTTCACCCTCGAAGACACAACCCAAGTTTTTGTTACTCCCTGGCACGACTTTCACCTGCAATTCCAGGGGTGGTCAATAGCACCAAATCTGTAACAGGCGGGGAGAAAATGTATGTCTGGACTGAGATCGAACCCAGGACCCTTGCATCTCTAACCGGGTGCTCTTCCAACTGAGCTATCCAGGCCAATATCCACGGCCCAAACCATTACATTATAATAAATGTTTTATCCATTTGTATGCTAGCCTACAATGTATGTAAATTAGCTATATCCATTTTCAACTTCAGTTATATTTTAAAATATATATTAATATATATATATATATATTATAGGTAAATTACAAACAAAGAATCCAACAGAATTTATCTAATTGTCTGATATATTTATCATATAAGCAACAGATTTATATGCAGCAACATGTATGCAAAGGTGACATTGTTGTTTGTGTAAATTTAAGTGCCTACTGCCCAATAAAACAGAACAACTCTATTTCATTGGTTCTGTCTAAACATAGCCACAGGCTACCCTAATTCAATTAATGTGTTTTAATAACAGTGATCCGTGACCCCTTCTTTGGACCCCCGAATGTTTGTATTCGATCACCGCCATATTGGAAAGGATTTTAAACATGCTTATTTCATAACATTCTCTTCTGTTTACCTGGGAATCGTAATGCACTTTGTAGATGTATCCTGGGTGCTGATGGCTTTTTTCAGCTCGTCAAGTCCGCCAGTCTTTTTTAATTTTTTCACTAAACTTTTCACAGCTTTCTCCGACCACTTATCAACTTCGGAGCTGTCCCCCTTCTTCCATCCTAGCAGAGTTTTCACGATAGGAGGCGTAAATGGCGAAAGTGTCGTCATCTTGTTCGGAAAATCTCCACTTTATTCCACCTTTACTTTGACACTGAGCGCAATTACCACATTGTTTACTTTTTATCGATGCATTTTCAGGTTATGTACCTTTTTCGCCATATGTAGAGAATAGCGCCACCTAGCAAATAATACTTCCGGTAAGCTTTTTAGCCAGTGGGCGGATCGCATTTTTCAGAGGCGGGAAATTTATTGTCATATTCAATATAGTAGTAGTAGTAGTAGTAGTATTTATTTGGTATCATGTCATCATACATAAAACAAATACACATAATTATACTTGATCTTATTACAGTTGAAAGTTGGTAATCAAGATGTTATAAATAAATAATTTAACATGACTATAAGCTGATCCCGTTTCCAAGAGAGAGAGAGAGAGAGAGCGAGAGCGAGAGCGGGGAGGGGGGGGGGGGTCCGACCAGCTCATACTTAATTATCATTATGAATTCAAGCAAAGTGAATCCTTTTCTTAACCAAATACAGTAAGGCAAATATAACAAAATGCAATTGTTTTGAAAGACCCGCATGTACATTGTGTTTACAATGTAATCGACAAATAACGTAGATTTAAGTTTTATTACATGTGTATTATGCTAGTGGTATGATTTTTTTGGTAATTTTTTGTAATATTTTTATATGGTAATTTTAATTAATAGTTAGTACAGTGTACATGTATATTTAAAAAAGAAATATTCAAAACGCTCTATTACTTTTACATTCTAGAATAAACTGTTTACTAGGCCTATATAAAATATATAATAAGTTTGGTTGTATAATTATTATAAGCGTGGCCTGTGTACTTCATTTCCAGTTTTGAAATAATTTTACGATATTGATTAGGCGTCTCCATATGAGTGAAAGATTCTCGAGTGGGACGTTAAACAATTTACAATTAATCAATCATCGACCTTGACTAAAACCAAAATTCTTAATATCTACGATAGCGAAAATAAATCATATCTCTTAAAACAACCATTTATGCCCCCAATGCAGAAGATTCTGGGGCATATAAATTTTGCCCTCTCAGTCCGTTTGTCTGCGCGTTTGTCTCTTAATCTGTGTGTCTGTAAAACCTCAGGCTCTTGGCCTTGCAATTTGACAATTTTTTCAAAATTTTACTAAACGATAACTTTGCCCGTAACTTTTGAACGGTTTGTCAAAAGAAGAGCTTTTATATTTCTTATGTGTAAGAAATGCTTATGAGCAGTTTAAGTTAAGTGTGGTTTTAAAGAGATCAAAGTTCACTATACATTGACCATGTTTCATATATGACGTTTAGACGGGTTCTATCGCTCGGTTGGTAAAACATCTGACTGGAGATTCAAGGGGCCTGGTTCGAATCCCCATCCGATCAGTTGTATTTCCCTAGCTGCAATAATGTAGCCCTCTCCGATCCAGAAAATATCAGACAAAAAAAATCGGAGAGGGCTACATTATTGCAGCTAGTATTTCCCCCTTCTCCCATAATTGGTGCCGTGCCATCCCCTTGAAGCAACAGGTGAAAGACCAGCCAGGGATCGAAGAGCCTGCATGCATGGGTTCTTCGGGGTGGGGGGGGGGTGTAAGGTATTTAAGGGGGACAAATGTGGCGATCAAACGGATTCGATCGCCGGTGGTTAGATCGTAGATTACCTGCCTGGAGATTCAGAGTGCCCGGGATTGAACCTTGGTCTGTATTTATTACAATGAATCAAACTGAATCAACGTCGCAAACCCAACACAGAAAAACATAGTAAATGATTTTGTTTAACTTTTTATTGTTTAACTTTTTCATTAATTGCATATGGTCGTAGGATAACGTAGGATAAAATAATAACACGATTTACGGAACTATGGAAAATGGCTCTAAGAGTTGCCTACCTTTGATTGTTGGATATCTAATACTGCAGCTGTTGCAGAAAATAGTTACTAGTACATATATCTAAACTTCCAAACATTCCGCCTCTCTCTCTCTCTCTCTCTCTCTCTCTCTCTCTCTCAAGTGATCTTTCCGAAAACTTTTTTTTTGAAAGTTTCTGAAACAGTTCCTGTTCAAGTCGCAGTCCTGATGAATATTTTTTATACCAATTTTTAAAATTGTTAAAACTCAGAATGAAATTAATGTAATGCTTACAAGCTAACGCTATAAAAGGATTATGAATCACGGCACATAACGCCATTGTAACGTCATTATCAGAATCAGTATTATATAGGCCTACTCGATAGAAATTATTTTTACAAAAGGTATGTGTTTTTAAATTTTGCAATATTTATTTCTCAAAAATAAAGCATTTATACCAAGAAAAAAAATGTACATGCTGTAAAATAGTGACAAGTTTGGTCAAGGAAAACTCCCTTTTTTTCGCGGGACATTCTTTAAAAACAACATAAAACACTTTCTGAATGTGTAAAATAAATCTAATTGTAAGAGATAAATCATTTAGTATATATTATATATCGGTCCTTTTAAGATTATGTAAAAATGAATACATTTTTTGTTTATTGAAAAAAAATCTAATATCTATACATGCTGTACATTGTCATAGCATGGGTATACCCCAACCATTGACCTGCTATTCAATCATTTTTCAAATTTAAATGATCTGCAGAACAAATCGTACTACCATGAATTCACTTTTTTTTTCACTTAAAGAATTTCAGCTCAATATTAAATATCAAATATTAGCTAGATCAAATTCATATATTTGTTCTTTAGGAATTGTGCAACTATAAGTCTAACAAAATTGATATACACATAGACCTAATATACACAATAATGTATGTCACCTTTAAATCTACAGTTGTACATGATTGTTTTTTATGTATTATTACCATATTTTCATGTTATTCTGTTCTTAAATTACAAAGCCTAAGTAATTGACAAATTTATAGGTTTATGATTTGTTAGGCATGTCAAAAATGGGATGGGTGGGTGAGGTGTGTGATCTGGAGAACAACATGTGTGCATGACTTGAATTGTAGTGATGTTTTTGAAATTGTTGTGTCTATCGATCATTGCTCATATCAATTTTTTAAAGTAACAATCTAATTTTGGTATTGTGCTTTAATTGGCACTTGGACCACAACACTAATCTGAGTCAACTTTGCCATGGTGTTCATTATCAGAAGATTTACCAAACAAAATCATTTTCCCACTTTTGTCACATAAAAATTCGTCTCCCATATTATGGCCAAACGTATAGCTACAATATTGTAATCCTCTCCCATTTTTTTGTGTTTGTAAACAACGTCTTCTCTTTGGCTTGAAAACTCGTTTCAAAGCACGATGTGATATACATGTGCAAATCTTTGACAGATAAGAATTACTGAAAGTATTGAACTGGATTTTGACTGGTTAATAAACTTTCTGACACCGGATAAAATTAAAATGTTTTTATGACAAAGAAAAAAACTAGGTAAAATACTTTTATTCAGTGCTTTGAAATGAATCAATCCCATTGAGTTGTAGTTGGCATAAGATGAGGGCCCAGCTGAGCTTTTCTGATAAAAAAAATCCAACATCCATCTCTCTGTCATGTGTTATATGTAAACTAAGCTTAATGCGGAAGCATCTTCAGGTCCCGTGCTTTTGTTTATTGGGGATGGAATGCCATTATTTCTGGCATTTTGGTATTGTGTCAATATGAACGCCAGTAAAGGGGTATATAAAACCCACAAGATGTTAGGTAACATCTTGTCACATGTAATGTGCATGTCAAATATATACGCCCGATTTCTTCTCAATCAAAAGTTATCAGGAAAGAAGGCAATTTTGAAAAGAGGTAAACTTCGAGGTCACATGGTAAAAAGTCATGATATATTCAGAAAGGTCATTTCACATGCATTGTACTATACATGTATAATATGAAAGCAGAATCTTGTTTCTTTCAAAAGTTATGACCAATTCAAAATAATGTTAAAACTTTGAGAAGAAGGTCAAACTTCAAGGTGTAGGTCACAGGGTAAAAAATCACAGTATCTTTTGAAAGATTCTTGTCACAGGTATTGTACATAAGAAATGTGAAAGCCATATCTCTTCTCGTTCAAAAGAGCGATGACCAAGGTTAACGTTTTGGTTGCAGATGAAAAAAATTATATATCTCCTGGCTTTTGCGATTCATCTGAAATGGAAGAGGTCAAGAAGAGTCTTCGAATTTCAAGTTTAATTGCTTCTTTTCTGAAAGGCGAGAAGAGCGCTGTATTTAGTCGGAGACAAACTGTGGCATTTAGGGCCTCGGTCGAACTGTCGTCTCTGACGTCATTTATCCCTCCAGTCACAAGTCCCAGGGCTGACACTGATGTCTGGTCAGGAGAACTGTCGTGTTGGAAAACCACCGAGCCTGAATCGCCTTGTTCAGAGAAGGGGTGGTCACCTGGGTCTAAACTGGAGACTAGGAATGAAACGGGGAACATTTTCTGTTCATCCCCGAACAGCTTATAGTAAAACTCTGAGCTCAATATCCGACCATCAGTAAAGTTAGTTGTGGCTCCCTTTTTATGTACGACAGCGTTTGACGGTATGAGTCCTTGTTGAATATTAACGTTGCATGGATCTTCCATTCTGTTCAAAAAGGTCGTGTTGCAGTGTCTTTCTTTGTCTTTATCTATTTGGAAAACGGCAAAATCATGGAGAGGTTTTTTATCTGAATAAATGCATTCACCGACTTTTGAGAGTTTGGAAGTGTCTGGAGATAAAGTGTACACATGTTGATTCTCTTGAGTTAAGGCATGATGACAAGTTAATCCATAGACTTTGTCTTTGCCATCGTCTTTCAGTAGAGCACCAACCGTGGCATAGGAAAATTGTGTATCATCAGTTTTCTTATTTAGATAAATTTTATCTCCTTGTTCTACATAATTTTGAATTTTTATTTTATCGGATACGATTTTGAGTGACATCTTGTTAAAAAAATTCGGACAAAGTTTATATAATTCAGATTTAAGCGACTCGATTTCTGCACTTTTTTCTATGAATACCCTGAAATTTGATGAATCCAGGATACCAAAACCATGTATACCAGGTTTTCTAAAAAAATATTTAACAGCATAATATAAAATATTTAATATCTTTTTTTGTAAATAATGAAAATACAGTATTCAAAGACTTAGCAAATGATAAGAAATATTTCAATTTTTTATTGAACTCAGCTTATGCCCAAAATTTCTTAAACTACGATGAAATATCATTGTTAATGTTTCAAAAGCATAGTAATGAAAACATACTGAAACAGAAATTCTTTCACAATCTGGGGAATTTCATTTGTTGAGTTCATTTCTGGAGACATATGTGATAAAACTGAAAGGCATCTATTCCTGATTTCTGGTATATTTCCTCCCTCTGATCCTTTAAATTCATCAAGAAGCCCTTGAATATATTCTTTCAAAGGGGTTTCTAGGAAAGAGATGAGCTCTTCCCGAATGCTTTCCTTTTCCAGTAAAGGGCACTTTGATTCAGTAGGGACCTCACAACGTCTGAAGAATTGGTTTTGGATTATGAAAACCTTGGTCCATGCAGCTGATTGTATGGAATCGATGAACTTATCAAAAGGAAGGAAAATAAGGTTATATTTATTTTCTTAAAAATAATCAGTAGTAAGAGGAGCGAAATGGTTTTGTGTTTGTAAAAATGAACGTACCTCTTCGATTTGATTTAAAGACTCGTCCTTACTTTGAAAATATATCAGGGCTGATACAGGCCATAGTTTCTCATCTCTGGAATAGTATCCTCTTGTTTCGTCTGTAAAATACAGTAAAATAAATTCTCGGAAGTCTGTCCCAATTTTCTCATGATCGTGTCTCTCTTGTAGATAAGATTAAAAAACTGCTTCATTTCGAAAGTCATATAATTTATATAAAATAGTTTTTCTTTCAATTCAACTGATCATTAAGAAAAATAATGTCTTTTTCGACACTTGTTTGTCCACAGACAACTGACATCTACTTCCTTCTTCTGAGATTTTCTAAGACACTAACTTTGCAAATATACATGAACTCTTAGTCTATCATGCCATTACTTCACTATCTAATATAATTTCTGTTAATTTATTAATTTTACGGTAGATAAAAATACCAAGAACAAAATCTTGTTAATACACAGGGTGTCCTGTTTCGAGAGAGATTTTTAACACGAATACAGCATTTCTAATGAAGTAAATGATACAAAAGGCAAATCAGTGAGATTGTTGTTTTAGAAGACTCTTATAAATTGATTACGATACACCTGTTCATGGGATTTTGCTAGCATAGCTAGTGTAGCCTGGAACGCTGCATTTCATTTCCGGAAATCTGCATAACATTTTCAAATTTTTTGATTTCATTTCCGAAATTTTTTTTATTTCACTTTCGACATAATATTGTTTTTTTTTTTTTTTCGGGAATTTACCTGTACGGCAATTTAAGGTTTTCCTAGTCAGTAAAAGTGAAATTTTAAAAGTTTTTATTGCAAAATATTGACTAAAATATATTAAATATCCATTTATTATACATATATGCATAAATGTAGCACTAAGTTTAGGTAAATAGAGTTCAATATTTACATTTCCAATGTCTTTGTCTGAGATAAAATTACCAATTGTAAATGTAATTGATTTCCTCATGAATGTTTTGGCGCGGTTCCAAAAAAACCACGTGCAGGGCGGGACAACACCTAGAGAGAAGCAGGCTTGGAGCCCGTGGATTGGCGGAATCAAAGCATGTAAATATAAGGAATAACTGTCAGATTTTTCAAATTCATGAAGATGATCAATGGATTGGCTTGTGTGATAATTTTATGCATAAACGCCTTCGGCGTTTATGCAAATTATCACACAAGCCAATCCATTGATCACTTCATGAATTCGAAAAATAAGACAGTTATTCCTTAAATATACATACAACTTTTTCACCTCATTTCATATGTGCATTATAAAATAGATGTCGGTGACAGCATCAAACTTATGTCCAAGACAATTGATGTACTCTAATCGAGTTTTTACTCCGGTTGATAACGCATTTATTATACTGCTTTACACAGAACAGAGTAAACATTGAGTCAATCACTCGAACTTTAATTTAGGTAGTTGCCTGCATTTTCCATTCGTTTCATTGATAAATTTACAAAAACTCAGAAATTGGATTTCAATGATTTATTTATGATTTGTATTCCTTTAAACTTTTCATAGGTAAAGTCTTCAAATCTGCTACTAATTAAAGGTACAATCTGAAAAATGTCGGAAATGAAAACAAAAAAATGTCGGAAATGAAAAAAAAAAAAAATGTCGGAAATGAAAAATTGATAATTATTAAAAATTCCGGAAATGAAATGCAGCCGATTGGAATATCGTGGTTTCGAGCCCCGGTCGCGACTGTCCTATGTCGATGAAAAATACGTAGCAACTGCATCTTTCCCTAGCGTTTAGCACTTTGAAGTGAAAGTTGGGAGTTCTTTTGATGATACCTTAGGTCACGTGTCACGGCAGGCGTTGGTACGATAAAGATTTCACTGCTAAATGGGCCTGAGTGCCGGGTAAAGGTCTAAATTTGAAACCCTTTACCACTATATGGTGACGTCTCTGTAAGAGTGAAAAATTCTCGAACAGACGTAAACCAACATACAATCAATCAACACTTTGATGAAATTCCAAGTAAGACTCCAAAGTCCGATGGTGACGCCAGACCCCGATGGTCTGCGCCAAACCCCAATGGCTCATTGTCTTTACGGACGCCAAAGTCCGATGGTCACGCGAAAGTCCAATGGCTCGTTTCATATGAAACGCGCGACGCTAGAGTGCGATGGTCTGACACGCCAACATCCGATGGTGCGGAGGAACAATTGACGTTTATGGCGTCACAATAGTCCGACGTCATGCACTGATGACGTTATTCTGTATTTAAAATCCATTGATTCAGTATTCGTCTCACATACATTTTTACTCATTTTGCTTTTTGTTTTCACCCACCAGAGGTATTAAGGTTAGTCTTCGTACAACATTCGAGTGATAAGGGTTAGTCCTTGAACACTAAGGTTCCATGTTCGTTCGCCCTAAAAATTGTTCGCCCGATTCCCCGTTCGCCCGATTTTTTGTTCGACCAGAGTCCGCTCGCCCTAAAACTTGTTCGCACAGGGTCCGTTCGCCGTAATTTAATGAAGAATAAAATCTGATGAATTTCTTTCTTAATTTTTTATACATTCAAAATAAAACAGTCCGTCACTGTATCCGTCAGGCGTTATGCATATGGTCACACCCGTTTTAGTATCAGCGGTCACACCTGTCCTTTAATTGTTTTCAAAACATAGCGCAATTCGTAAAAATAACACGAATGTATCCCCCTTAATTAACATTGATATTAATCATCTAATTAACTATAGTTCAAACACTTAGTCATTCAAAAAATCATTAGAATCAAATCAAAAATTAATTTAGACTAAATAAACATTGCTCTTCGTATCAGAATTTGAGAAAAAAATTTCCAAGTTCGTAAGGGAAATAAATAGAAAAGAAATGATATACTCGTATGTTAATTTTTAATTCATATATATACAGGTATACAATAAAAGTATATATTGGGCGAACCACATATAGGGCGAACAAGATATTGGGCGAAAGATATTTTGGGCGAACGGACTCCTGCGAACAGGTAGATCGGGCGAACGAACCCGTTACCGAACACTAATGTGTTTCTTCGAACCCGGCCGAGAAATTTTAGGGTTAGTCCTCGCACACTATTGGACTGATTTAGATTAGTCCTGCACCCACCTATGATATTTAGGTTAGAGTTGATACTCATTGTTCGGCTGATAAGTCTTAGTTTCGCACCTACATCCAAAAGACGAGGGTTAGTCTTTGCTTTTATGATATTTTGTATTTATTTATTGGCATGGCGTAGTATCGCATTTTTACGCAGTAGTACTATGACGTCATAAACGTTAATTGTTTTCTGCGCCATCGGACTTTGGCGTGTCAAACCATCGGGGTTTGGCGCAGACAATCGGACTTTGGCGTGACCATCGGACTTTGGAGTCCCATCGCACTTTGGAGTCCTACATATATGTATGATTCAAAGGAAAACTTTTCAGTGACAGGCCTAGGAGTTTTATTACCGAACCAAAATTGTGGACAAACTACCTTTGCATATTGAATAATCAAAATCTGTTGGATTTCTTTATTTTAATTATTACTCTGATCCATGTATATCTGTACATGCATATATGATATGGATTTTTTCTTCAGTTTTACTAGCCGTACCAACGCCATTGAATACTTTTAAATAAAAAGAGGCATTTAATAAAATTAGTTGCAGTAAGGAAAGTTACAATTTGTGACCGATTAACAGCAATACGGAATGACAGAAGAGACTAGAACAATACGTCCCCGAACTTATATCTTTATATTTTACGTTTACGTTAAAAATATTGGCATTAAGTCCTCTTCTTTGATCATTATAGATACAAGACATAGTATAATCTGCATCACCATGTAGGCATTATGAAATACTGTGTAAACTCCTATATTTAAAAGATTTTAGATGATTTTATTTTTTTGCTTTTATCCTTAAAATCCTTTATCTTAATTAGTCCTCATGCTACACAGCAAAAGTAAACGTTTAATTCTGTGTAGGAAAGACGCACATGTACAGTACCGACCGGACACAACCTAACACCAGAGCGAACCCGGAGCGGACCCCGGGTTCGCTTCAGGGGTTCGCTCGGGGTCCGCTTCGGGTTCGCTTTCAGAAATTTTGGGACCGCTCCGGGTGCGCTTTGGGTGCGCTCCGGGTTCGCTCCGCGTTCGCTCAGGGTCAGCTCTGGGTCCGCTAGAGCGAACCCGGTGTTCGCTTCCTGGGACCGCTTTACGCACTGATGCGTGAAGCGGACCCCGCTTTAATCTCACCGCCAGTAAGCCCCGCCCCTTGTATATTCCAATACAGTAATGGTATTGTGGATCGATCATTGTTGTTTATGCGACGATGCGGACTGTACAGTACCGACCGGACACAACCTAACAGAAAGCGAACCCGGAGCGGACCCCGGGTTCGCTCTCTGGGTCCGCTCCGGGTTCGCTCGGGGTCCGCTAGGGCTGACAAAGCGCACCTAAAGCGAACCCGTAGCGGACCCCGAGCGAACCCGAAGCGGACCCAGAGAGCGAACCCCAAATTCAGTAGCGGTCCCAGAGAGCGAACGCGGGTTCGGTATTTCTTTACAGAGCTGTCAATCAGGATAAGCGATTAACCAATCAGCGCTTCAACCAATCAAAATAACATATTGATCTGTCGATTGGGATATAAGATCGAACGTGTTGATTTAATTCGACATAAATCCAAACACTGTACATACAAGTAAACGTGTGAATGTGCTGTGTTAATCTACTCTGATAATTAAAATATTATTTAATTTTATTTATTTCAATTCTCCGGTTTGTATTTTATATTTATATAATATTTAATTTCTTTTTTATTAAAGCAATTAATTAAATAAATTGTGTAAATACATCAGTCAATGCAAAAAAATGGAAATCAATTAATATTACAATTTTTACTGACAAAAAGCGGAGAAAAGAAATATAGTTGGTCTTCGACAATTATTGTAAAATTTCATCATCTCAAGTTGAATTGGAAATTTATATATAAACACTATTAAATAAAGAAAGAAATCCGAACAGCTATAAAGTACGTCTGGTTTATCGGGGTATACATGTACTCAGGTGGAGTGCGATTTACATAATTGAACGAATTAATTACGCTAATTAATCACGACATTTAGTAAATCGTACATTGTTTCATTCTCTCAAAATCCGTAACTATACTTGACAAAGAATAATCAGAGAAATATAATATAGAAAGGATGTTTTAACATATGAATTATGATCTATTATAAATTTTGAAATGTTTTTGGACTAATTATTGGGAAAAAAAATTAATAGAGGCGTTAGCAATGCATAGTTATGTGGGTTGTTCGAAAGATGGTAACGCAAACTAACTGTAGACTGAGTTACACTAAATTGAAAGAATAATCTTGTTAAGTATCATCAGGAATTGGGTATAATTCACGTTCATTCTGGTGAAGTCATCAAATTTGTTAATACCATTAGGGCGGAATGACTTCAATCTGTGCATCCAGAAGGAAGATTTTTATATACACGCATTTTTTCATGCCCAAGAAGATTAAGAAGATCAATAATTTTGATGTAAATTTTGAATAATTTAATGTAACACGTACATTGTGAAATCATAAATAAAATAGTTAAATAATTAGAATTTTTTTAAAGACAATGTGTGTGTGAAATAGGGGGCATATATATTAACATATTCTTATTTGGTCGGGAGAA